TTTTATTTTGTATATGTGTTTTGCCAGTGTCTTGGATACGCTAGTCATTGCATGCATGCAGTGCCTATGGATGCCAGAAGAGGGCATCAGATCCTCTGGAACTGGAGTTACTTATGCATGGGAACCACTATGTGGTACTGGAAACCAAAACCTAGGTCTTCTACAACAATAAATGCTCTTAACCACTGAGTGAGTCATTGCTCTAGCTGCAAAGAACAATTTCTTTATTCACCAATGAAAATACACTTACCATGTATTCACATAATGTATATTGTGGTTAAACTTTAATAAACATGGGAATCCAAATATCTTTGTGGGTGTATATACCATATATAAATTAAGAAAAGTGATAGCCAAATTATTTCATTTACTAGTTTTCTGAGAAGCTTCCTTAATGTTTTCTATTATAGCTGTACTAATTAACATTCCTGCTAACAGTATAGAATAATTCACTTTTCTCCATCATCTTGCAAACATTATTTTTAATGTTTTATTAGTGTGTATTAATTATGCATAATGGTGAGTTTTCATTTTAATACATGTGAATAAATTGCATTCACTCCCTACTGTGGTCTCTTGCCAAACTACTACACTTCCTAACCCCTTCATCTTCCCAACTAGCTTCGCTTCTACTTTCATGACTTCTTCTGGGACCCAATGGGTTTTCTAGCATTGTTTACAGGAGCAGACCATTTTGTCAGTGGAGACACCACTGAAGAAAATGTCAGACCCTTCCTAATATGTACTTGTCATGGTATAAATCTTCAGGAGGTGGTGACCCCTCTATGAAGACCCCCTTCCATGACAAGATCTTGATGGGCCCAGTCAAGCAGGGATCTTATAAAGATAATTGTAGCTGTGTGAGTTTGAGTGTAACAGCCCTGTCATGCCCAAAAGTCAACATTTCACACACCTCTACCCTTTATCAATTTCTTACATTCATTCCCACCTTGTTCTTTAATGGATCCTGATTTTTAATGGCCTTGGAGGAAGTGATATACATCCCTTTATACCACTGGTCAATCACACTTATTTTTTTCTCAGTATTTTACCAACTATACATCTATGCATTCACCACTGCTCATTGCAAAAATTAGCTCCTCTAACATAAGCTGAAAGCATACATTGTTCTATACACATCAACATAATTATTTAAAAGGAAATCTGACAGGCATATCATGTCCATTTGCTAGAAACAGCTGTTTTC